ATATATATATATATATATATATATATATATATTAGAGGTCGCTTTCGATAAGGAATTGCTTCGAAAGAATAGAGCTATCAGCTTACGGAATATTTGTTCTTCATGTTCAAGTTACATATTTGATTACAAGAGATTAACCAACAAACCTTTCGTTTTGTAACGCGATGCTTGGACTACCTTGTACTCTCTAATGTTTTATTTTTTTTTTAATCCATGTGCAACGATAGTTCGGAGAAATACGATCATTTGAATGATTGTTTCTATTAAACTGGGTTAAACTGGGAAGAGATTTAATGAAGAGATTTTTTTTATGCGCGGCTTCCAATTCTTCCATCTTTCTGTACTTAGTAAATGTACCGATGTTTCTTGTAAGAGTTATATATATACATGTATATGCGTATGTGTGTGTGTGTGTGTATGTACACACATATACACACTACGCGCGCGTATAATGTTCTCTTTGTATAACGCCCATCGAAACGACTCCGTATGACTGTCCCGGAACAAATTTCTGCATGATCCAAGAATCCGAGAATCCATAGGTTTAAATATCCAAAAATCGAGAAATTATTATCTCGATCTATGAATTCATCCTTTGAAAAAAATTAAGAATATCAAAATGGAAATTGAATATTCTACCTGAAGAGATCCACAAATTTATCGAGCCAAGTATATGCAATGATAGCACAATTCGTGATATAATTTGAAAGAAATTCGATATTGAAATAATTTTGTGATTATAAATTAAAAGACTGGTCATACAAAATAATTAATGTAAGAGTCTCTGATGTCTCCCTAAGAATTCAATTCGGAATGAGATATCCGATCATCGAAAATCAAAAATGATCAAAAACGCAAATATTGAGTGGAAGACAAATTATTCCTAAGATGATAAAAATAGCAATATGTAGAAATGCGAGGATCTCACCAAAAATATAAGATTGAAGAATGGAAGTTAGCAAATTGTACAAACTAGTTTTGCAAAGAATTAAAGATCCATCGATCAAAAAATTGAAAATGTATAGATCTAAGAATCTAAATGAATGGTAACGTATAGAAACGTGAGGAAAAACATAAGGATAAAGAATCTTGGATTCAAGGATTTAAGGGCGCATTTTTTAGCTATACTACAGCATTATTACGTTGTTGCGTATGAAAAGTCCGTTTTCTTTTTTTAATTTATATAAACTAATTTCGAATAGTTTAATTGAGTTGGAGATATAGATTATGTTAATACAGACAGCTGCGCGAGAAGAAATTGATGAGGAAAGCTGTGCAATTTTTAAGCGCGCATTTTATTTATTTCTTAGAGGAAAGAAGAATATAAGCTAGAGGCTTCTTTTATATGTATGTTTGTAAGTTTTAGAACTTAGTTATATACATTATTAGTAAATGTATGTTTCCTTTTTTCTTTTATGTGTATATGTCAATTTTAAATGCGTTTCGGATTGTTATACCTAATTTCACTAAACAGTCGTGTACATTTAAAGTAATTCGTGCTCATATCAATTGCTATTTTAATGCTTAATTAAGAAAAGAAATAGTTTTTTTTTATCGTACTATAAAGAGCTTTCCGGGACTTGAGAAGATGTGAACATCATCAAAAGATGCAAAAGTCTCGGGACTAAGTGTAAAAATTGTGGAAAATCTAGACGCCATGTGGACACCTGAGGAACAATTAACAACTTCCTCTAGGCTGATTGTCAGTGACTAAATGCTTAACATTTCATACGCAAGCACGTAATATTCCAACCATCGTAATATCTCAAGCAAAGAAAAATGCGAGCGTGACAAAGCGTTGCCAATAATGTTCTCCCTCTCGAAATCGCAATTAAGATTCCGAGCCGCCTTGCTGTATAATGAACGTGTAGAAATATATACACACACATAAATATATAAATAAACACACACACATATACATTCTTCAAACGGCGAAGACAGGATGTGTGCGTGTGTACGTTTGTATGTATTCTGTATGCGTGTACGTATGTGTAAAAAGAAGAGGAGGAAAATGAAAGAATAACGGCTTTCGCCGAGCGACGAGCCATCGAGATTCGTCGAGACTTTTTATATGCAGCCAGAAAATTTCTTAATAAAGAATAAACATGAGGAAAAGAAAATAAGCGACGAACGAGCGCGCGACTTTTGCGCACTGTACAATTAGAAATAATAATGTATCGTTATTGCGAATTGTATAAAGGTCTTTTTTTTTTCATGATTTATTGTTAACCCGTTGAAGGCCCGCATCGCCTTTTCAATTGCAATAAAGTGGCATAATCCTGTTATTCACGTTGCGCATTTAGCGCTAAATGCGACCTCGGCCCACGATTGCGTCGAGTGCTGTCTTCGTATTGGTCAATTATGATTTATCCATTTACACCCTCATAATGTCAAGAATGAGAAGATTTATCAAAGAGGCAAAGCGCATGTTCTCGTAAAAGCACGTAAAAAATTTCTTAACGCGAAAGATTTCAAGTCGAAGTCTCGTGAATAAGACTTTGTTGTGAAACATGACTGGCTTAAGAGAGAAACAGTATACTTTCTCGTTAATAATAAATTTTCTATTTTTCTATATTTCTCATTTTATAACTCTTAACTTTATTTTTCCATATTTTTGTCCATAATTTTACGCGTGCCTTTATAAGAGCGTAATTCACAAGAACGGGGATCTGTAAATTCTGTCGCTTTTTGACGTCATCTAAGATGTGTATATATATATATATATATATTTAACTAAATCGATTATCGCGCATACCGCTTTAAAGTTCAAGATCAGTCGCTACATTTAGCGCCAAATGCGGCGTTAACCATAGAATACTAATCGTACCTGTAGGATGATATCACACAACACATATATTAAATCTATCGCAATTGCGTTGCAATTTTTTCTCCAAAAACGCGATAAGAGAAATAAACTTTTTATTAAGAAAAACTCGCGTAATTTGTTGGTCAAGAACAAAGGAACGACACTAAACTTACTGTCGGCTATAGTGAGGTGTTTCAGAGTTTTTTCTTTCATTCGTATTCATTTATTATGGAAGTAGATTCACTTAATTCATGGCAATAAAGCCGCGTACGAAAGATATAAATTATAAGAATAAAATATATACAGATGATCATGTTTTATGACGTCGAATGAATTAAAGATTCGAAGGCGAGAGAGGAGCACGCACGTGAACGTAAAATTCACGGGAATGCCTTAATTTATAAATAAAATTTTCATTAACAAATTTTTCATTATACACTGTTTCTGTTTCCATGCAATCTCTCTCTTCCTCTCTCTTTCTCACTCTCACTCTGTACTCTGTCAATATTGTAAAAAAATATATCAAAACATCTGGTGAAGGTACACACACATAAAAATTTCATTTTCCTTAATTATATTTTCTACGCATCTCCTCTTTCTTCTTGTTCGTAAAATATCGTATTTTTATTTGGAGTAGGAGAAAAAATATATATAAAGAATATGATTAAAAGAAATGTCAAATCGTGTATAATGAAATATCGTCGTATAAAGATGTGTATAAAATAGCATTTCAAGACGTACATGCAGAGATACACTTCATGCGCAATGGTGAATATTTTTTTTTAATTATTGAACAAAATAAATTTATGTACGAGACTCTGCTGCACTGCTAAGAAATTGGAAAATGCGTTTGCGATACGTTAAATGTTACATAATTATCTGAATTTCTTTATTGTATAAGTGTACAAGAAATATTTTCGATAATAGTATCTTAATTAGCACAAAAATTAATATCTGGTAATATTGGAGTAAATGGTTAACATACATTTTTTTTTTGCATTGACGTTAAAGGATAAGGCACTAAACATAACGAGTATTAGTTATATCTATAGATATATTGTTGGATCTGCATATTTATGCCGGTATTCTCTTGGGATTCAAGTCGTACATACGTCGCATCCGTTTCTTCAATTCTTGCGGAAATTTATCGTAACACTTCTTGCATGCTGGCTTCAGATCAAACTCGAAGAATTTTGTTTTTTGATTCATCTTCTGATCGCAGAATGCACATGCGAAATGGTGAACACACCACGCCTTGTTCAGCGCCGTAAAAACTAACGAAAGAGTTTTAATATTAGGTACAATTTCGAGCGTGTTAAAAACCTTACAGATTTTGGAAGTTGGGACTATATCGGTTGACTAAGAAGGGCATTAAAAATATACAGGGCTCGAATTGCAATCCAATCGATGCACGTACCATCTCCAGCGATAACTTGATTGCAAACGAAGCAGAGATTCCCAAACAGCTGATGATAATGAGTCTCACAATAAGCGAGACCTTTCTTCTCGTAGTGACGATGACCTAGGAAGGGCTTCTCACATTTCGCGCATACAAAATGCTCCACGTGCCAATGCTTGCCGAGGGCTGTCACTACACGCTCCTCAATGGGACGTCGACAGGCACCGCAAATCGGAATTCCCATTTTATCGTGGCATCGCAGACAATACAGCTCGTTCTACGGAATAAAGAAATTATCACGAAATACAATATTTTCGATATACTATAATAAATTAATTTTCTTTGCTCATTAAATGAAAGGGGAATATTATTTCGCAGTGAACGCATTTTTCTCGTCAGGATTAAATCGTTTCCATCAACAAGAGGAATTTGTAAAACCTGCCGCGGAAAATAGCCATACAGGAGATATGATTATAAAAGATTAGCAGAACCGTACCATTTCGTTGGCGGCATAGCCGGGCCGCGAACGAACTTCTCTAGCTTCGGAATTAAGTTCCACGCCGCAAGCCGTACAATTGAAATGATATGGGTGATACAGTTCACCGCGGAATCGTAGAGGCTTATCGTCGATCACTCCGCTGTATTCGAGAAAATCGATTGAAATTACTTTGAAGGGGAAATGCATTCTAACTTGGAATTGTTTGCAAATTGAACAGAAATCTTTCACTTTATCCAAATGATTTATAAATGGCAGCATACTTGTTAAAACGATTCTCTCTTCTGTCTTAGATAAAATATTAAGTCAGACATATCACCGATATTGATCTGTATCTTTAATAGCGATAATAGGAAAACATACTGGCATTGATGGCATATATGTTTTCCGAGCACACCAGCTTTTACTCTGGCATTGCAGGTATGACACAATGCTCTGCCTTGACACTTGATGAATCCCGCATCTGCCAATTCACCGTTACACTCTTCACAGCGGAAACATTGCGGATGCCAATTTGAATTCATCGCCTTGATCACACGGCCAATGACAAACTCACCTGCAAAGATATTCTCATGTCTAACTAGCCGGAAGTGAGGAACAAAGTTGCTTACATATAGCAACTGGATATATTTAAGAATATCTTACCGCACTTTCCACAACATGGGGCAAACAGAACATGAAAGTCATGTTCGCAATATTTGTAACCTTCGAACTCATAAAAGACTCCATCTGGAAATGGCCGGAAGCACTGTGCACATCTGTCAAAAGTAATGTTTAAATTAGCATTATTCAGTGAAATCAATTAATTAATTCTCAGATATATTTTTGTAAAAAAGAAAGTAGCTGAAGAATTAACATTGGTATACATTTTAAATAAAAAAAAAAAGGATCACAATTAAAAAATCTTCTTTCTACAGTCTATATCTTTTGAGAGAGTTCCTTATGTATATGGTCTTTGTAAAGTCCCAAAGAATAAATCACTGGTATACATACACAAAACATTGCGGATGCCATAGCTCGCCATGTGAATTAACAATTTTCTCATGAGCGGCAAAGCCTTCTCTGCAGCGAGAGCAAAACATATGATCCAACGACATGTCTGTAACCCTATATATATGATACGCTACAATTATTCTCTCAGATCCACTATTGATTTCATTGAAGGAAAACAATAAAGTACTTTAAACATACTGTGGTATAACTTGTCGAGCTCAATGTATGTTTTGAGCTCAGTTAAGATGTACAATTACACAGTGTTCCCTTGTGTTACAAGAAATGCACGAAAAGAAAAAAAGAAGAAAAAAGAAGATATCCATGTACGTGTGTGTGTGTGTACATTGTTATGCATCCTACATATATTGCTTATACAAGGGTTAATATATCTCTCTAAAGAACTAGTGCTTACCCTGGCATACTTTAATGGAAGAGGTGATTACGTTTGGATGCTGATAAATACTGCTAGCTTTCTTTTTTTTTTTATTCGTCCGCGTTCTATCTGCTTTACGACGATATATAGATGATAAAAATCGATTAGACTATGTGTCGTTAATTAAAGTATACTAAACTAATTGCGTTTTTTTTATTCTTCCATTACACACGCAAACTATATTAATTAATTTAATCTTTTTTTTTTCCTCATATATTATTACCCTCTTAGGGATATTTTTTATCAGTTGTGTGTCTTCTTTCCTTGATTGTTTAATGTATTTCCATTTGTCGGATATATTTATTTGAATTAATAAGAAATTATGTGTAATTTTATCAGGAATTGGGATAAAAATGATTCTTGAGATATCTGGATTCACTACCTGAATCTTAATTTCATATACACTGTTTAATTGATCTACATCTTATTTACTAATTGATTTAGTTAGTGCATTTTAATTGATTAACGAAATAACGAGACTGAGAAAAAACTACCTATGCGCGATCTGACACACAGCTGACACATCCATACTCTTGTCTGATTTTAAGCAGGGACAACCAATCCAATCTCAGAAAACGTCATCATGACCTTTTATGAAAATGAGTGTACGAATGATTCGTCCTACGCCACACCCTTGGAAGAGTAAGCGCGAATAATGATGACGTATGACGCCGTCTCCAACTCACGGAACAGAACTCTTATAATATACCGGAAAGAGAACAAATGCGGATATTGCTTAAGCTAAGTTCGTCTTGCACGTTTATTTCTATCTTAAGGCTGGTATGACATACGACGAATTTGTTGGATATGCCGATTGGCGGTCAGATAGAGAATTGCTAGTGTGTCTAGAAAAAATTGAGGGACTCGTGAAACATAGATTGCAATAATACAAATGTTATCGGAACGCTGCCCGGTCATGTCAGCAAGTCAGAAAATTCCATGAATCTCGGTTAAATAATTCGTTAACACCGGCCTGATTTCATAAACACAAGTTAATCAAATAGATCAATTAAATTAATCACCAAAATAGCAAGACTTCAAAAACGAACATAAGTCGATAATAATACCTTTAACTGCAATGATTAATTTTACGTATTTTGGTATTATTATATGTATTTGGCAATACAGATGCCATGAAAGTGGTTTAATAAAGATCAGTTTTATGTTCGGCGGTTGGCAATCCCAAAATTAAATCGACTGATTTGATTAACTCGCGTTGGTGAAGGCGGAAACCATGATTGATCTAAATTTAGGGATCTAACGATCAATAAGTCATTGATCGCTTGTGTTTTCTGAACGAAGCTTTTCGCTCTGGTGAAATCGTCCTCGTGATATTACGATAGTGATTTTTACTTCATTAGCTGGCGAAGATTGGTAGTGGTTTCCCGCGCAAGTAATATCGTGCATGCTCGCGGAGATGTGTTGTGACACCTGATATATCAAGGAGGCACAAACGTTATTATAGCAGTCGCTGATTTACAACGAGAATTTTACAAAATCTTAAGCAAGTATTTGAGAACAAGCGTTATGACTTCCTTTAATTTCAATGAACTTAGCAAACAACTGAAAGACACTCAGCAGAGCTCTCATGTCGGGGTTTCTTTCGCCGGTCGATCTCTCAAATTAGATACCGAGAATGATGGTAAGATGGTATTGATGAAGAGAAACGATGATTTCTAATAAATTAATGTTAAAAATAATGTTTTATTTGTGCCTAACGCTTGATTATTACCGGATAGTCTGATTTAAAAGGTTCATTTTGCCTTTCACGCAGCTCTGCAAGTGGTGGAAGCAATAAACACGTGTCCTTGTTTGGAGTATCTGGATTTAGAGGGAAATACATTAGGTACACAAGCTGCAGAGGCTATAGCTGAATCATTGAAAGAAAAGGCAGCTCCCTTGAAGAGAGCTTTATGGAAGGACATGTTCACTGGTCGTTTGAAGACAGAAATTCCAAAAGCATTGGAATATCTAGGCACAGCGTTACGAGTGGCTGGTACTCGTCTTACTGAACTTGACTTGAGTGATAATGCATTTGGACCAATTGGTATTCAGGGATTGGCTGATCTGTTGATATCACATCCGTGTTATACCCTTCAGGAATTAAGATTGAACAATAATGGTCTTGGCATTTCCGGTGGTAAGATGTTAGCTCAAGCATTGTTAAAGTGCCATGAAAATAGTTCCAAAGAAGGTGAGACACTGCGGTAAGATGTAAAAAATATCTGCATTGATAAATCTAACTCTAAGATTTAACGAGATTTGTTTTATCACAGGCAATCCACTTGCACTGAAAGTTTTTATCGTTGGCAGAAATAGATTAGAAAATGAGGGTGCACAGGCATTAGCATCTGTATTTAATGAGTTAAAAACACTAGAGGAGGTTGTAATGCAACAAAATGGCATATATCACAAAGGCATTGAAGCAATTGCATATGGTTTGTCTGCTAATTCTAATTTGCGAATTTTAAATTTGAACGATAATACAATCGGCTTGAAAGGAGCCAGAGCGCTCGCCAAAGTTCTACCGACCTTCCGAAACCTGGAGGAATTGAATCTTGGAGATTGTTTACTGAAGACAAAGGGAACTTTAGTCTTGGCAGAGGCATTAGCAGTTATTGGCAATCATACATCTCTTAGGAATCTGGATTTAAGTCACAATGAAATACGCATTGATGGTGGAAAGGCTATCGCCCAGGCTATGGTTGATAAAACGCTTCTCTCTAATCTACAGTTAGATGGTAATATGTTTGGGACAAAGGGACGTGACATACTTGAACAAATTCTCACCAATTTTGGAAGAATCGATGCATTGAATTCATTTGATGAGGATGAAGATGATGACGACGATGATGATGATGATGCTGCTGCTGCTGCTGCTGATAACGATGAAGAAGATGGCGAGGAGAGTGAAGAGTGTGAAAGTGATAATAATGAAGATACGGAAAGTGACAAAGATAATAAAACACCAGATAACGTTGCGCAAAGTATAGTGACGGTTGCAGAATTCTTGAAATCACCGATAGGTGAGAAATTATTATTGCTACAAGGTGATAATGTACAGGCTTTTGTTGATCATGCGGAGGTACGTATTGATACGTCTTATTAATACGTTACAGCTCCTAGTTGCACTTTTCAGCAAAGCTTGTTTCTCATTTCAGAATTTAGCTATTCAAAGTGATACGACCACAGAACAGAAGTTTATAGAAGAACTTACACGGATAACCATGAAAGTATCAGCACTATGTGATAGTGGCTACATGAATGTGAGAATAAAAGCAGAATCTTTGTCGGATGTGTTATACGCACAGCTATTCTCCTATGCTATAGAGAAAGATCAAATTTCGAATCTGACTAATGCGCTATTGATTAATCTGGGTTTAATTAAAGTAAGACACATTAGGATACTATCGAATATAACAGAAATTTTCATTAGGAAAAATAACAAACATTCAAATTCTCTTTTTTTCTTTTCTTTTAGAGTGAGGACAAGAACAATGGGAAAATTGATTGGAACCTGGAGGGATGTTTCAAAGCCTTGGAAACAATTTGCCAGAGGGATTATTTCTTGGAGCAAACAAAAAGTACATTAAAATTATTTCTAAATAAACCAGTGAAGACTAGTCGTGCAAGGATGGTAGATCCCTTCCAGGATTCCAAAGCTGCTCTTAAAATTGTTCTAGATCGTATTCAAGTTACGTAAATTTATTCTAAATTATATTTTAACATGAAATGTACCTATTTATTTTTATATGTTGCATGGGAAATAGAGATGAAACATTTCATATAAAATTACAACCAACTAAACCAATACTATTACTCTGTGTGTGTGCGCGTGTGCGTGCGTGCGTGTCTACACATCTTGCTAAACTTAAAATCTTTCGTGGAATTTTTCTTTAGAAATATTTTTAGAATATTTAATAAAATTTTGTACTTTTAATATATACATTAAATTTTCTTCCAAGCGAAATAGTTCTAAGTAGACAAATGAAATGAAATTACTTTTATTATCTAAAAATATCAAAAAATTAAAAAAATATATATATTTTTTTTTCTAAATATATACTACATCACATGAGAATTTCTAAAACTTTTTATAAAAGACGATTTACACGTATGTTATTTAAATAAGACTTATCCTTCTTTTCATTGCAATATTATCTTGATTTCCAATAAAGTTTTACTTCTTTCGTAAAAAATTATAGATTATTAAGTTATATGATGAACAAATGAAAAATACATTTATATCTTACATTTATATATATACTAATTTTAAATGTTTCTACTACTTTTGTAATTTTCAAGCTAATAACAGAAAAATAATGTACGTGTAAAAATAATTATTTACGTAAAATTTCTACAGAATCTACTATACTATGAGAACACACAAAATCGCAAACTTGTGAATTTTACACACACACACACACGCGCGCGCGTACATATATATGTACGTAAAATTCACAAGTTTGCGATTTTATATATATATTGAGAAATGTAAAATATGAGAATTTTATACATAAAACACATTTTATGTGTATAAAATGGTGGTTGATGATGCACGATTTGTAACTCATGCGAAAAACTCAAGCAGATATTGTGGCTCGAACAATTTAAACAATTAATGGAAGACAGAGAAAGAGAGAGGGAGGATCTAACGTTGACATTCGTTTTTCTTCAATTAATCTGTAATATTGAGTATAGGTTATTGTGGAATAAATAATGCTTGCTGGTATACAACTTAACATGAAATGCAGTTAGCAATTATTAAACCTTTACAATCGGAGCGCACTAATCGATGGATGATCTTACTAGTTGTAATTATTCCAAAACGCACGACTCACTAGTACAGTAGTAAAAGATTGATCTGCTTGTACATTTAATAAATTCCTCATTGCATTTTAGTATATAACAATTGAGCCTGTTAAATGCGGCGACCAGAAACGATAAAGATGCTTTCTTGAAGCCAACTTGCCATCCGACCATAAAGAGTTAATTACAGCTCTCGTCCGCGCGTAATTTGTTACTGTATTATATAAATAAGAATCTCTTTGAAAGCTGCTGTGACTTATAAAATAAAGTATCACGAAACTTATTTCATAGTAATCGCGGATGCTGGATCCCAGCCTGGGTGAAAGAGATCAACAATTAACTGGGCACAATGTGATGACGATTGATCTTTCATATACATCGTTACCTGGAAGAAACGAAAAAAATGCGTTCTTTTCATTACGCTCTCTAAGTTGCATCACCTTTGCAATACGTACAAGGAAAAGAACCAGCTGTAATTTTGCCTTAGTATTACAGTCTTGTCCTAAGGTAGATGGATAACTTATCGCCCCGTCATTTTTGTGTATATCAGCTGCTATTAATTCTAGGCAAGCTTTTTCTTCCACATTCAACGTCTCCAATAAAGATGCTATGGTGAATAGTTTGCGCGATTAATAATGAGCTTATAATACACACAATTGATTTGTAACACGAGTGTAAAAGTTTCGTTAAAAAAAAAAAAAATGTTGTTCAAGGTCAGCAACTTACCTCTGTCGGAAGCTTCGGCAGATAAGAATCTCGTTAAAAGTGCAGCGGATTCGGCTGAACCGGAAAATAGATGGGGATAACGTCTTAGGAGCAATTTCGTCAGTAACATATTACCGCGATTTCCGGCTAAAGTGTTACTAGGTGTACAAACTACCTCGTCCTCCGTTCTTCTCACTAACAATACAGTCCCGTTATACCTGCGTATACGCGCGAGGACAGATAGTTAAATAGAAGAAAATGTCATAAGATATCGAGACAATATGCTCTCATACCTATTTAATTGCTCTGCTATATTCAAGTTGAAATAATCTCTGATTATACTGCGTACTAAACCTTCGAGGGACGGGGACATCGTTCTAATGGCTAATGGAAGCACATCATCGAATGTAGCATCTAATACCTAAAGTAGAAAGAAAGATAATCCATTAGAAAGGGTTTAATAGGACGATGTAAGAAATCGACAGCCTACCAAGCTTTGTACAGAGGGATAGTTCATCGCGGCCCAAGTAGCGGTGTATCCTCCAATGCTCCAACCGTACAGAATGATTTGAGTTTCGGGAAATTTCAGACGGTCGATCGCGAAGCGCATTATGCAATCGATGGCACATTCTTCTTGGTCCGGATATGGTGCGCCCTTTATAGTCACGACTTACCGTTACACGAGTGGCAAGTTGCCCGAGGGAGAAGGTTTGCAATTACCCCGATTTATTATTTGCATGCAAGCAAATGTCATTGTTGCGGTAAAGCATCACCGGGATAATAGCAATTCTTCCCGTCAAATATATTTTCTTCTACGTTACACTCACAGTACTGTCACCGAAACCTGGATGATTCCAACCCAACACTGAATAGCCCTTGTTCAAAGGAGTGGATATAACGCCCGTCTCATAGAAACCACAGTTTCCTTCGCAGGTTACAACTAGTATGCCGCCGTTGGCGCTTCTGCAAAATTGCACACATGGGAAATGAATTGTAGGACAAGAGCTGCTAATAATGTTGCTAATCGTTTACGTTACTTGTTGCGCCGATCGACAAACATCGCGTCGATTTGATTTTTCTTAGACGTTACCAATTTGAATCTTTCTCCGCCTTGTTTTATCAGGTCCATTCTACCTTTCAGTAATGTGGAGCCTTCAATGTATAGCAATACATTATAAGTAATCTTGGAAAGAAATATCGATAAATGATAATACTGATGTTTTACCTAGTGCCCAATTTATTACGGATAAGCTACCAGGATAAATTAATGTAATAGCCAAAGTATGTGCCACCACATAGGAAAATAATTTGCATGGTATTGCAAAGAGAAACTCTTTGCCACTTTGTTGTCTCAGACGTCCACTAGCCCTACCAATCTTCTCCAAGGTCAGCTTGTCTTTATCGCTAAAAATCAAGAAACACACAATTTGTGTTGTACTATTTCCAAAGAGTTGTGCCAAGGTTATTGGAAACATAACTTTGGAATTTTAGTCTGACAGATTCTCCGCATTTAAGGTACTTTGTTTTCCTTGCGAGTCTTGGAATGTGAAGATTTGTAAGAATTGCAATTCAAAATTTGACTTGAAGAAATTTATTAATAAAACTGAAGATATATCTAACCTTTGTAATTTCGATACGTCAAAATCCACAGGCCAAGCCCAAAATTCAAAATCATACTTATGAAGCTCCTGCTTTGTCTTTTCATTATACTGCGAATGGGCTTCGGCCAATGTTTGTACAAATTTCACATATGCTGGATTGCTAACGCGGGAGTAACCACGTGCAGCCAACGAAGCGATAAGAATCGCACCAGCACCAGCTGCCAATTTACTCAAATAAGCAGCGTTATCCGTCAAGGAATAATTACGTTGGTATATAAATGTGGCAACAAGCGGTATGGCGTAGAGACTTATGGACCATATCGCAGCAAACTATAACAAAAAATAATTTGCAAGCTTGTAAATATTGCGATTTAATATAGACGCATGTATATGATTGCCTCCACACATACACGATATCAAAGTTTAATATGACGATAAATATTGGGCAAATACTTACGGAAATGACGATTTGATCGCCCCAACGTTCCAAATTCTTGGGCTCATACGACTTCTATAACGTATACACGGATAACCTCAGATATGTGCAGTTTCTATGTAAAACGCTGAATAAATATCGTACTTACATCAACTAGATGACCGATCCACGTTACCTCGTAAATCTTGAAAAGCCGTGGACTGAACGTACACTTCCACAACGTCCTGATTAACGACATTTCGTACGGCTCGATAGCGAATATTAATGGTATATTACTGATAATTAATCGGTGATGCGGATTAAATTTTCAGACGGCGCACATGACATAATGAGGCAACATTTCCGCCACGTCCGTCGAACAAGCGTCATCTAGATAGACGACGAATAATTCCAAGTTGCCCGGAGAAGCTTGCACATTAGTGCAATATCATGTTGAATTTGTGTGTGCCACGTGCAATTGCGTTTCTTCTTTATTTTCATGTCATAAGAAAGATTTTTACAAGCAGCATTAAGTCTAAGAATTGCGATTAGGAATTTCAAGCAATCACATGTTAAATATGATCGATAATACCGAGAACGGGGGATCATTGCTACATATTGCGCATGCATACCACATGTCTTTTTTTCAACAAAACATTGTATCCGTCACATTCTATTGACATATGTGCACGTGCGTTCACTCGTATATACGACGAATGAAACAATATGGACTTTTACGAACGGAACCTTTCTCCCGTACGTGAGATTATCTGAAATTCTACTTCTCGAAGATTCCGCGGGTAGTTTCTCGACCAACCTGCTCGTAAGATTCGTTTGACGACGCGTGTGACAAAATTCGTGCTCGTGAAATCACAGCTTCGCGCCAGCAGTTCGGTCGGTCGATCGAGCTGCCGCGCCGCATGATTTTCGGAACGTCGGCGGAGCGAAGAACTCGCTGGAGAGAGAGAGAGAGAGAGAGAGCACGGTGCAGCGCAGCGCAGGCTAAGTGGAAAACCGCGACGTTGATATCGTGTGTGATAACCGACGGATCGCAGCGACTTTTTACAATATGTCAGATTGGGACACCGCGCCAATTACTTTGCGTAAACGCACACCGAAGGCGTCCACGCTAAAAACTGAGAAGGTAATTTACGCCACGTTTTTTTTTTCTTTTTACGCGCATGTGATATATACGCGGTTCGTAGTGATAGCAGCCGATGACCATGTATGTGTCGCGATTGTGATGTAACTGTATGTTTATTTACAGGCGGTGAATGATGCGCGGCGGCAAGGTTTCACCGTGGAGACACAGGCAAAGTGTAAGTACTGGATTGTCTCCGCGGATATATTTCCGACGAGTTTTCCTACTACGAACTGAATCGGTTGTCATGACAAACAAACACGGTGCTTTACTGCACAAAAATTGATCATTTTGCATACTCTCTTGTTGAAACTGACTGCTATGATTTGGAGCACGATTTTTCTTAAGTGAAATTAATTTTTAACATACGCCTCATCAAAGCATTATGCTTTTTTTTCTGGAAAGTGAAGATACTTGAATTTTTCTGTGAATAAAATTCATCAGTACAGAAGAAGATGAACAAACTGCACAAATCAATCTAGCTTGAAGATGCTTCTATATGGCATGTTTTATGTATAGAATAAATGTGTACTAGGCTGTATATATCATTTCTTTCGGATAATAATAACATTTTATAAATTTCGTCTTAATATAACCTATATATGTCGTGTGATAAAATATCATAGATGTTTTATCCCACCTCACTGCAGGTTCATGTATTAAATATAAATTTTATGAATCATTCTCCTATGTGGGAGGAGAGAATACAATAATTTTGAACCAGTTCTTTTACCAGGGGGTGGTGGTGCAAATAGACAACACGTAACTACAAAAAACACAGCTAAATTGGACCGTGAGACAGAAGAGTTGAAACACGATAAAATTCCACTTGACCTTGGCAAACTTATTCAACAAGGCCGACAGAGTAAAGGATTGTCTCAAAAAGATCTAGCAACGGTAGGATATTTTTGCATATTATATAATGATAGAGATCTAATTGCATATACACAGAATAGTTGACTATCTTTCTCTCTCTCTGCATCATCCAGATCTAATTCATTATGTCTTCCCGAGTCTATTGCTCTCTCAACCAGCAGTTAGCTCATTCATTCCATTTTGGGAACAGCAGTTTTAGAACACAATACATGTTTCGGCACCTTGGATACTTTTAATTCACTTCTTCGTCCATGTTTTACAGAAAGTCAACGAGAAGGCGCAAGTTATCAACGACTACGAAGCAGGACGTGGAATACCAAACCAGATGGTCATTGGCAAAATCGAGCGAGTATTGGGAATTAAATTGCGTGGTAAAGATCGTGGCAAACCGTTAACGACCCCCGGGACAAAGAAGTGAATCTCGGGGGAAGGAAACTATTTTCTATCTTACACGGTTCTCATGAAAGAACTTTGGCAAAGACGGTAGAATGGAAAGCCACAAACCCCTATCTTTCTTTCCTTTGGTTATTTTGATATCGTGCATTACAGAGTAGGTTATAATTAACTTGTCTTTACGTATAAAAAATAAAAGAGGATATTTTAGGATAATACAGGTGTAACAAACCATAATATTAAGAAAAGATTACAGAGTTACCTTCGTTACAGACTTTCAAATGTACATTACTAATGCTACTATTAAGAGAAAAATATGCTTGAGTGGTAAAATAAAATTCTTAATTTATGATAAAGTATACCCAACATTTGTTCATTGAACACCATTGTACGAAGAAGTACGCAGGGATAATTAAAAACAATTTTTTTAAATACAAAGACGAAATATATTCATATATATGAAAAGTAGAATATAAAGAGAATGTCTATCTTGAGACAACACTGTGTATTTGTATCACTTACATTCCCATGTATACAAGCATGTTCCATCCTTTCGGACGATCCTTATATTCAATATAAATACATGTCTTTTTCTCAGTGCTGCCTCCAAAGAATAATCGAGAGGAAAATTGCAATGGCAAATTTTTTAATATACTCGATTAACTTTATTTGCATAGATTCCATATTTTTTTTTACCCATTAATCTTTTCTCAGTGCAAAACTAGTATCTTGTATTCCATCTTTAGTAATAATTTTGATGGTTATTCCATCACCTGTGTATATATCTCTCTCGGCTGCAGAAGTAAAAACATCCTTTAGGATTGCCACAGCTTTTTCCTGAGTTAAGGTTGCAGGTGTGACTCCTTCTTGGTTCTTGTATCCAATCTGACAGATAAAAATATACCACAATGCATGTAATATTGATGATACAAAGTGATCTTCTTCTTAAGGCTCAGCTGTCCCGAGCAGCTAGACTGGTTTTATGAAGTTTTTTCCCTGAAAAACGTAATAGTTTTGCAATCTTGGAACCTGTAAAATGTACGGCAAACTGAGTTTGCCGATTCTACGTGACATACTGGACAGACATCTCAGTTTGCCGCACATTTTACAGGTTTCAGTATTACGAAACTATTATGTTTTCCAGGGAAAAGTAAAGAATAAAGCTACATGCCGCAAAAAAATTACTACTTGTCATTTCTCATTTATGACATCACAAACTAATATGACCGCCGAGAGATAGCAGAGTCTCTCAAGTATCTTTTGCACTATTTTGCTAGAAAAACACTTTGCATTAGTTTAAGATATATACCTGATTATCGAGAAGTGGTTGCAAGAGGGCACCAGCTGAGCCACCAGCCCTGTATGTAGTCTTTTCGCAATGTCCAATCGGATCATAACTATATATACATCCTTTTCCATTTTCATCTAACCCAGCAAGTATGTTACTGACATAGTATGGAAAGAATCTTTTATAGTACAGCATTGTTGAAAGCATCTGTGCAGTTGCTGGAGTCGACATTTCTTTTTGATGTTCATGCTTGTACATCTAAAGATGTATATTGCATATGTATAGCTGGTTATTATTCATACAACCAATGATTATTCTATGTACTTATATATATACTCTCGGATATCATATGTTATACAGTCTGAATCAGCTGTAAACGAACAAAATTTATACCTGCATACGAGCGGACAAGAGGCGAGTCAAAGTTAATGTATCGCACCAACAACCAGAACATCCTAGAATGGTGGATTTTGATAATGAGAATAACTTGTCCTGTTGCCGAGTATAAATCGAAAATCCAGTGCTGAGACGTGTATCTGCAGCAATGACACAGAAGTCATCTCCTGCAAGAGCCACTACGCTCCTGACGATAAAATGCAGCATGATCAGAATATTGTGTATAGAACATACAATTCTACTGAGATATATAACGATAATTTGAACTAATCATAGAAAAAGAGATGGTAGCTCAATCTCGACACTTAAAACTATCAGATTATTGATATAAAAGTATAGGTTATTTTGATTTCAATTACCCTCCGTTGTCGGCATACGGAGTGAAGCTCACTGTTCTTGCTCCTTGCACTTCGTAATCAGGCAAATGCCCTTTCCCATTGTCTCCCAATAGAGCCATCATTGTATTTAGTTTAGTCTTAAAATGTAATCGATGAATAAACGTAAAAATGAATGACACTACAGTTTTCAGCAAAGATGAAGTAGTCTGTCGCGTTGCGGTGTTTGGTTACTGAAAGCCGCCCGCACGCCATCTTTCGGACAGCAAAGATGGAGCAAGAGTGCGTTCTTTTTGGGCACTAACGCGCTGCAAGCGTCATTCTATCTCCTTTTGGCTGGTTCTACGACGAGCATTGCTTCGATTCGCTATGGGATAGAAAATTTTTAGTGTCTTCAATATTTTCTCTAGACATCCTAGAGAATATCTACCTGACAACCAATTGGGACATCCGACAAACTCCGGCGATATATGTAATACTAGCCTTTGGTATGTAATGAACAATAAAGTTAGAATGAAAAAGGATGCATCTCAAGATAGTCGTTGATTTGCGGATCTTGCGTGTTTTTCACTTGTATGAAAAGATTGTCCAAGAAATGCATATCTCTCATAAAAAACGAATTAATTGCTATCTGGTCGACTTTTCGTTTTTTTCCCCTAATTCCATTTACAAAGATCTGTTATATCGTACGATAAATGAGGCTACCTTACGAGTCATGTTCAATTGATATTTTGTGTATGGTAACGAATACACGTGTAAGTAATTACTATAGATCGCATATACGGTGAGAAATTTAAGACATGGACAAAAAGTTTGCGAGAACTCTTGACATATGTTGTGGGCAATTAAATTTCCCTCCATCATGGTCTGATTGCCCGTTTGGTTAGAGTAATTAAACGTCGCTGTCACTTGCAGCCTTTCCTCATTTTGTCGTGTGAAATGCATTTTCGAACGGCTATGTTTCCTCTAACTATAAAAGTCGCCGATAAATTAGCGTCGTAGTGAAGTTGGTCGGTAAGCCCCTTCAGGACGTGATTTTAGTCATTTTAGTACCCTCGGCTATATGAGCACGACGGTAGATCGTTGAACCCGGCACCACGGTACTCATTTGACATTTTAATACTTATAATCTCGCTACGTATGTGTCACAGGACCGAAGTTATAAATTGTTATTCGTTATCGCAATGAAAACCATTTTGCGCGAAATGTTTGTACACGCGGCAAATAAATGCTTCTCCGGCAAAACCATACATAGGAGGGTGTGGAGGGGGACACAATTTACATAAAGTACGATATTTAATGTTGCGAATATATACGTTTATTATCCGAAATAATCTCAAGAAATTTCTCCTCAAGAAATCTATGTTCGCACGACCTCATGCCACACCGCTACGGCGATGCGCCGTCGGTTGCTGATTTGACTAGAGCTACTTTCCGGAAGTGACGCGCGTCGCTTCGTTACGTTTACATTCTGTTCTCGACATCGCGTTCATTGTGGGGAGCCATTACCCTCGTCCGCGCTAAAGCATCGTGCCATATTCCCACTCGCGCCCTAAAAATTACAACATTCTCGTAGTTTTAAGTGAAATATTATGAGAGTGAAGACCGAAATGGACGACGACGAGAAGGGGTGAGTACATACGCACTACTGTGACCGTCCCGGGCGCGTAGCAAGTCGCGAAAAATGCGAATCGCCGTGCTCTCGCGGGGCCATCATTTTCGCTGCACGAGAACGAGCTTCCCGTCTGCGTATCACGATCGCATGCGATCTTCGGGCCCCTTGATATTTCCCGGCCGCTTTGCCGTGATCGAGGTCGTGTCATTCCGGAACGCAAGACCGCATCTTCGTCGCGCCATTGACGAAAATATCTCGTGGCTGGCGGCTTGTTTTTTCGGCGGCAGTGCTAGGCTCGCGCGGGTGCCGCGCGACAATACCGGCCTGTAGTTTATTCGGTGCCGCTCCGCGGTTTATCGGCTACAAATTTTTCCATCAAAATCTCTCTCTCTCTCTCTCTCTGTGGCGTCTCTTCCGTGCCCTCCCCCTCCCCCAACTCTCTCTCTCTCTTCCCCCCCCCCC